AAGGCGGGACCTCCCCGGGGGACCCTCGCTGGCGACCCCCCCCGGGACCCACAAGGACCCTCAGGGTGGCGGTATTCCGACCCGGGACCCAGCCCCCCCGCGAAGTCCAAGGTGGACCAGACGATGTGCCGAGCTGCACGCCTCGCAGACGTTGGCCGAGACGCCGAAGCGAAGGCACCACAAAGCCCGCGCGGCAAGGAGCGGCAAGAAAAACTGCGATTCCTTGCCGGGGGCCTTGAGGCCAGAGGCACAGGCCAGAGGCACAGGCACAGGGGAGACACAGGGAAAGGGCTCCCCTCTGACTTGTTTACGACGTTCTATTTCCTCTTTCCTCCAGTCACGTGGGACTTCCGACGACGATGACGACGACGGCGACGGCAGCGACGACGACGACGACGACGACCTCGACGACCTCGACGACCTCGACGACGACGACGACGACCACGATGACGACGACGACGCCGACGACGACGTCGAGGATTGAGGATTTACGTTTGCCTCGTGGAGCCGACGGTGGGGGCTCCATGGAGGGTTGCTGCGGCTTTTGGAGACTCCTTGTGCTTTTCGGAGGTCTTCAGAAGCTTTTGAAAGGCTTCGGAAGGGTTTCGGATGATCTCACATGTTTTCGGAAGGTTTCGGAAGGGTTTCGAATGTCCTCGGATGTTTCCTGTAGTAAGGCTATGTGGAGGGGAGTGGGGAGGGGGAGGGGGAACAAGAGGAGGATGAGGAGGGGCAGGGAGGAGGGTGGAGGAGGGACCAGGAGGACGAGGACGAGGAGGAGGTGGACGACGAGGAGAAGGAGGTCAAGGATGAGGACGAGGATGACGGAGGAGGGAAGAGGAACGACTTAGGTGGAGGACGGATGGGGGAGGAGGAGCTCTATCGCACAACCGCTGCGCTGCTCGTCAATCCGCGTGTTCGCGCAACGCGTCGAGCGCGGTTTGTTCGATCCGAGCTCTCGAGGCAGAGGTCAGCGGTGGAGCTTCATGTCGGATCGCGGCATGGGGGTGGGAGGACGAAGGGGATGAGTTGGGCTTCGTCGTCGTCGTCCTCCTCCTCCTCCTCGTCATCTGTTTAAGCATCTTTTCACGACAGTCGCACCTCGATCGAATGTTTCCTCCCCTCTGGCCTTCGCCTACCCCGATCCCACTCTAGCCTCCTCTTCCTCCTTCTCCTCTCTCCAACCTCTTCTGCCAGCGCAGATGCCCGTTCACAGCCGCGGACTCCCACTCTGAATCTATCATCGCGCCTTCCTTTCGACATCCTCATGCTCATCCTCCTTCTCCTCGTCGACGTCGTCGTCCTATCTGTCGTCGTCGTCGTAGAGGTCGTCTCGCACCTCCCCCTCCTACCCCTCTTAGACCCCCCCTCCTCTCATCCTCCTCCTCTGCCTCCTCCCCCTCTCTCGACAGCCCCCGCCCCCGCCACCCGGCCCCAGGGCTGTCCTGGCAAGCGCGACGGCCAGAGTCTCGAGGTGGATCCAGCCCTCGGAGGCCCCAGCACGTAGTCCAAGGGTCAGTGGAGGAAGAACCACCTCCTCCTCCTCCTCCTCCTCCTGCGGAGTTTGTTGAGCAGCCTTGTCTTGCTCGGTTCTTCCCTTCGGTACGTTCCCTGCGGGGCCTGGCGTGGAGGCGTGCTCATCCTGAGGAGAAGAGCGTTTCAACTATCGTGTCGATTACCCAATTGTACGAATCGTCGTCCAGGGCCGACGACCACTGCTCATCATCGCAGAGGTGTGGCGCGCTCCTCTGCCGTCTACAAACGCCTCGGTCCTCAATCCCCCCCTGCGACGGGGGTGCACCTGCAGCGAAGACGCGCGCCCGTTCGGTCCGAGATGGGTTTCCCGGAGGCCCAGAAAGGACCGAAACCGTGCGAACTCAACTAACTTTCAGCAACCTGGTCGGAGGCCTAGAGGTTGACACCAGCACCAATTTCGGCGGTGTTCCTCCAGCGAAGGAAGATGGTCCCGATCTCGGTGATGGTGGTAGTATTCGGGCTTCTAGGTGGCCGAAAGGTTACCATCAGCACCATGATCCAGGATCATCTTCCCCCGGTGGAGGCTCCCCCCGAGTTGGTGTTGGTGCTCATTTCCATGCCTCCAACCTGGTCTCTCGATAACCCTCACCCTCCCCAGACACTCAGCGCCTTGACCTCCAGTCGGGCCGCTGAACAAGGAGCCCTTTTTGTTGGGAAGGGGCTCAGTGTTCCTTCCTTAATGGTTTTGCAGTTTGTCCTGGGTTTCTCTTAGATTTTCTCTGGGAAATCGAAGTTCAACTTGTGGAAATTCACCCAGCGCGACCCCAATTGGGGGAACGCTTCCTAAGCGGCGTTGCTTAGAAATGCTTGTCATCGCACTGCTTTGCTTTGCATTGTATTGCAGTGCTTGGCATTGCTTTGCATTGCTTGGTGTTGCTTGGCATTGCTTGACAATGCTTGGCATTGCTTGGCATTGCTTGCCATTGGTTGGCGTGGCTTTGCATAGCTTGGCCTTGCTTGGTATTGCTCGGCGTTGCTTGGCGCTGCTTGGCGCTGCTCGGTGTTGCGTGGCATTGATTAGCGTTGCTTTGTTTTGCTTGGCGTTGCTTGGTATTGCTCGGCGTTTCTTGGCGCTGCTTGGCATTGCTTGGCGTTGCTTTCTACGGCTTGGCATTGTTTGGCGTTGCTTGGCATTGCTTGGTATTGCTTGACATTGCTTGGCATTGCTTGGTTTTACTTGGCATTGTTTGGTGTTGCTTGGCGTTGTTTGGCGTTGCTTGGTATTGATAGGCGTTGCTTTGCACTGCTTTGATCTGCTTGGCGTTGCTTGGCGTGGCTTGACGTCGCCTGGCGATGTCTGGCATTGCTGGGAAACAGGACCAACAACCAGGGCGGGGAACCCGAGTAGCCCGGGGAATCGGGGAGCCCTAGGAACCTCCGAGAGACAGGCAATGCAACAACAGGAGGCACAGGGGGCGTGGAACCCGAGGAACCCCGGGGAACCCGAGGAACCTCCAGGAAACGGGCAACGTAACAAAAGGATCAGAAGGCGAAAACCCACCCCCATCCCCAGTCCCGACTCCCATCCCTGAGCTGGCGATTCAAGGGGCCGGGACTGGGGGTGGGGGTGGGTTTTCTCAATTCGTGGGCCCTGCAAAGCCCCCCCCCCCCCCAGTCCCGAACCCCTGGATCGCGGGTTCGGGGATGGGGTCGGGATTGGGGGTGGGAATGGGTTTTCGCCTTACCAAAAGGAGGCACCCGGGGCGGGGATCCCGAGGAACCCGAGGAACCTCCGAGCAACGGGCAAAGTAACAAGAGGAGGCACCAACCTTTGACCACGTACGAACCCTTCAGGCAAGCCTCATTGGGGAAAAAGGGGCCTCGTTAGGGTTCCTGGGACAGCGTTCCGACTATATATCTGAGGGAGCCTGGGATTCTCGATGCCCAATACTCAGGAGGGGACAACACCACACCGACACAATTCATCATCGATCCCTCGGAACATATGCGAAAATATGGGAAGTGGGGGGGGAAGATGAAAACCCAACAAATATGGAAAAATACGGGGGATCCTGGGATTCGTGTGTATTGATTTGTGTGTCCCGGGCCCCCCCTCAAATAACAAGACACCAGAAGACTGGGGTTCTCGATGCTACGCTTTCCCCTCTCCGAGGAGGAGGAGGAGGAGGAGGAGGAGGAGGAGGAGGAGGAGGAGGAGGAGGAGGAGGAGTCCTACGTTCATCTGGGGACTCTCTCTCATCACGATGGGGGGCATGCTCAGCTGCCCTGCCCGTGGTCGAGGCGGGGGGGGGATGCTTCCGGCGGGGTCGCCTCCGGGAGCCTCTCGGACCGCGTTGCGCCGTGACGCTGCGGCACTAGGCCCCCGCTGCAGGTGGTGAGCTGCCCCCCAGCCGTTCCTGAGTGGGACGTGGCGCGAAGGTCGCCTTACCCGCGGCCCCACCCGATGCTTACCCAGGCAACCACCACCTCCTGACTCCGCCTCTTCCTCCTCCTCTTCCGCCTCCTCCCCCTCCTCCTCCTCCTTCTCCTGCTTTTCCTCCTTCTCCCTCTCTCTTTTCTTTCTCGTCGTCCTCCTCCTCCTCCTCCTCCTCCTCCTCCTCCTCCTCCTCCCCTCCTCATCAGTCTTCTCCTCTTCTTCTTTTCTTATTTTTCTTCTTCTTCTTCTTCTTCTTCTTCTTTCTTCTTCTTCTCCTCCTCCTCCTCCTCCTCGTCCCGTCCGTAGCCATTTTTGGCTCAAGCTCGCGACCCCAGCCATTCGGGCGGCCCGTCTTCCCCTCAGCCCCCAGCTGTCCGCCCAGCTCGGGCGGCCACTGCATGCTGGGCGATGTGCGTTTTTCCCCCCTTTGGTGCGGTGACCTCCGCACGCCTCGAGGCGGCGTGCGCGGGCGCGCCGCGCCGCCGTGCCGCCGAGCCCGAGCTGGCGCAGTGCAGCTGATGGGGCTGCTGTCGCCGGGCTAGATCGCCGTGGCCTTCTCTCCGCGGCGGGGACTTATCCAGAACCACCGCCTGGGGGTTCGATCTTCGCGGGCCTCCGCAGGCGGTGGACACGGATATATTCGACCCCCCGTGGGCCAAACATATCCACGTCCACCGCCCGCTGGGGCGCCAGGACGTCGGTCCCCAGGCGGTGGAGCTGGACCAGTTTTCGCCTCGCACTCTCCGCCGCCGGCTCGGAGCTGGAGGATGTGACCCGCCTTCCCGCCGCTGCTGGCGCCAGGCTGGTGGCGCAGCGGCCCCGGCCCTGCGGGGGGCTCGGCGGCTCCTCGCGTGCGCAGGCCTCTCCGCAGCGAGGCCTCCGCTCACGCTCCTCGTCTCCGTGCTGCCGCTCTCGCCCCGGGGGTTCTGCCTGTGCCGGAGCGGCCACGGGCGGTCTGCGCAGCAGCGGCTCCTCCATCGGTACCGCCGGGCTCGTGCCGCTGCGCGCGGAGGAGGCTACCGCGCCGGCTGGGACGTCGGCGCCGACTGGTGCTTCGGTATACTTGGTCCAGATGTGGGGGGCACCCGTAGAGATGGCTTGCCGTCGACTGATTATTCGGCACTTGGCCCAGAAGGTAGGGGCACCCGTGGAATTGCCCCGGAGTCGACTGGTTCCTAGGCAGCTGGTCCAGACGTCGGGGGCATCCGTAGAATTGCCCTAGCGACGACTGGTTCTTCGGCACTTGGTCCAGACGTTGGGGGCATCCGTAGAATTGCCCCAGCGACGACTGGTTCTTCGGCACTTGGTCCAGACGTTGGGGGCATCCGTAGAATTGCCTCAGCGACGACTGGTTCTTCGGCACTTGGTCCAGACGTTGGGGGCATCCGTAGAATTGCCCCAGCGACGACTGGGTCTTCGGCACGTGGTCCAGGCGTTGGGGGCATCCGTAGAATTGCCCCAGCGACGACTGGTTCTTCGGCACTTGGTCCAGACGTTGGGGGCATCCGTAGAATTGCCCCAGCGACGACTGGGTCCTCGGCACGTGGTCCAGGCGTTGGGGGCATCCGTATAATTGCCCCAGCGACGACTGGGTCCTCGGCCTCGGCAGTTCGTCCAGACGTTGGGGGCACCCGCAAAATGACCTCGGAGCACGCCGCGGATGTCGACGCGGAGGTAGTCATCGTCGCGGCTGTGCTGGTGTTCGACGCGGTCGCCCTCGCCTCGGCCTTGGCGACGGCCCTCTTGGAGATGGGCGGCTATGACTTCTCGCGCGTGCCGCCCATCGGCACCAGGAGTGCCGATGCTCATTTTCTGCGTTGTGCTGTCTGTCTGAAGCGTTCCAGCAGTGACTCGTTCATTGTACTCGAAGATGTGTGGGAAGCCTCGGGAAGCGGTACGTTGCCATGTGACGTCTGTGCGCGACTTGATTTCTGCTTTCTTCACGACTCGGAATCCAGCTCGGAGGTGTGGCTTCCAGCTTGCACGCCACCTTTGCGCAGGAATCGATATGAGGAGATTTGCTGTCGCTGTCCCGAGTCTTCGTGGTTGTGCGGCCTTAAGCGCCGAATCCTACCGTGCCGAGATGCCTATACGCATTGTTTTGTCTCGCTTGTTTGCACGCTTCGCCACCCATTTATTTTGGTCATGCCGTGTGCTGGCTTCACAACGCCGCCCTCGGAGGAGCGGTTTCGCGAGCCGCGTGCGAATCTCGTGAGCTCTCGCTGTCGCGGTTGCTCGTCTCGCCTCGCCGCCAGTTTTGCCTGGATCCCTTTCGTCGAGCTGTGCACTTTCGTCCTTTTCCAACCGCTCGTGCCCCTCTACCTTCCTTTCTCCGCGCGTTCGGACATGTAGGTGTGCGCCTCCCCCTCCTCCCGTCCTCTCCCTCCCCCCTCCTCGTCCTCCCCCGCGCCCCCAGCGGCCCCGGCAGCGCCGGGGGCGCACCCGCGCGGCGGCGGCGCGCCCCAAACGGCGCTTCCCGCGCGGGCGGGCGCAACTGCGCGTCAGCGGCGCGATGCGGCTGGAGGCGCGGCTGGCACCCCTTCGGCGGCGGCCGCCGCCTGTCAGAGGAGGGAAAGGTATGCTCAGGCCGATGG